AATTACATTATAAATATATCATTTCATGTGAATATGACTGAAAAAGTTCATTTTTTCTGAAAAGGTGGTGTCTATTTACTTGTGACCACGCTGTGTAGATAGCATGAAAACTTGACAGAAATGAAAGTAAGTAATTTTGACCACGGACGTTTTGCTGTTGTTGTTTTTTCTGTCGTACATAAAGTTATGCAGAGAAAGCAGATATACTGGGTGTCTTTAAGCTGATGCACATAATTATGTATATAGCGACCGTTCTTTTTAAATAACATCCACAAAAGTGAATGAATTTGAGCGAAATATTTTCATTGCTTATCGGTAGGAAGTCCAAACATTATTGAAGAAACAAGTATTGTGAATTGATATGTTTAGAAACTGAAAAGCTTCTCGATCACAGACGTTAAAACTGATTGGGATTTGCATGTTGGATGTTCTCGTTAAGGACAGGAGAGAAACATCTAATCGATACAAATTCCTTAAATTATAGCCAATAATTATCGGAGGGATTTTCGAAAAATTCGTTATGGGTTTGCAACAAACCACCTCGTCACGTATTACACTTTCTCTGTATTTTATAACAGTGTTTCGACCTCTTTGTTCACACAAAGAGAAGTCATCCCCCAGTTCGTGGAATAAAATACAATTATTAAAGCAAAGCATCGCTGATGATATTTCGACGGCTCATAACTACTCAGTAATCCTCCTCTCCCTGTGGGTTTATTCTGCTTTTCCTCTTCAAGAAATTCACCATCCGTGACGCTATAAACTATACTGAAAATTAACAACAATTCTTACGACACAGTACAATACAACAGTAAAAGCAATGCTCTCGTTGGACATATTAGATGCTACTGCGCATGCTTGTTAGATATTGATTTCACGTCTGCTGCGTTTCTTCAGGCTTGAGCATCGGGTATGGCAGTGTAACGAACCGATGGAGGGTCACGTAGCAACAGTGCGTCTTTGGGGAAGTGTACACAGCGTCGTACGCACCAGACGATACCTACTACCCCAAAGATTGTCAAGGACGTGCCAAAGAAAACGACAGAACCAAACACGGTGGAATGTTGCTGATGCCAGCTGCTTCTAGTTGCTGTTGAAACGTCCATCTTCGGCTTAAACGTCTCCTCTCTGTAAAGTACTTCGATGTTCGATACATTTCTAGTTCGCTGAAGTCCTGGGTGCCAGGATACATAACTTTCCTTTGAATAGTAGGGTGTAGATGGAGCCTCGGTGTTTGTTGGGGTGGGATTTGAAAGAGGGACGGTAGAAAGTAGAGGGGTGACTACTTGAGTTCCGCGTGAATGAGAATCGTTAGAAGAGAGATACTCATCGGATGACGTTATCTGGGTAGGTAAGGCCACAGAGTCCTGGCTGACTGTTGTGGGAAAATTCGTACTCTCTAAACCAGATGTATGCAGACACCAAATCTCTCCATCAAATAAATTATTTTTGCACTCGGCTTGTGTGCTTAGCACGCAAAGTTTTCCGTTTTCTGTCCAAGCTGTTACAGTTCTGTTCAGAGAAGGAAATCTGTTGTCTTGGGAATCTTCATATTTAATTGGCACTTGCTCCCAGTGAGAACTCTCTGGATCTAGTTTCCATATCTCCTCTTCTTCTTGGCCTCTGCCCCAAACCCAGAGTACTCTGTCTGTTATCCACGTGACCAGAGATTCTAGATGTACCGTAATGTTTTCATATTCCCATTCATCAACTTGTATAAAAGAAATGTTAGTGGTGGAATAGTTGGCTGTCCATAGACTCTGCGCGTCTGATGACAGGTCTTTCAGCCACAGATAGAGGACTTGAGCATGGTTTTCAGACCAAGAAAGCCCTATAACATCAGATTCTGTCTCATTGTAATAAAAATTCGCAATTCCCTGGTCAGTCTCCCATCTAGCCTTTTTAAAATTCAGACGGTAAACAGATCCTGTATAGAGGTCCATGGCAATGAAATGACCACCTAAACACCAGGTTAGGTGTGAGGAAGATATGTTTGAAATTGGCACCTGATGCCATTGTGACGAACTCATTTGTAACACGAACGCTTCGTCAAGATTGTCAACGACGAGGTAATGTTCGTGCTCACATCTGACCCTCCACGAAGAGCTCTCCTCTCTCGTTTTATTGGGTAATGATACATGGTCCCAAACACCCATCGTAGAGTCGTACAACCAGAGATTTTGGTCAGAAATTCCATAGAACCTGGTATTTCCATCAGTCCATCCAGACAGGGGATGCAGATTACAGGGTACAGTAGGGTGTGACCTTTGTGGAACAACTGCGTCTGAAAGAAGAAAAATGAAGATGTCAGACAGAAATGTTAAGAGTTTGTTCTGTTTTCACTCTTTATGTTACATTTGAAGTAAAAATTGACTTTTTTTTATTTAAAAAGTGTTAACCACGCACGTCAGAGCCATGTTCTTATAAATCGTTTTACTTCGGTAAAAATTAAATAAAGTTCATTTACACTAGAGCAGAGGAGCTGCACATATCTGCAACATTGATAGGCTGTATGAAAAAGAAAATAAAAAAGTTAAATATTGATTGGTGTTCCGATGGAAATCTGAAATCAGGTTTGTTTGTAGTTAAGCACAAAGCTACACAATGGACTATCTGTGCTCTGCACACCACGGGTATTGAAACCTGGTTTCTACCGTTGTAAGTCCGCTGGTGGCTAAAAAAAATAGGAACAGAACTACATTTTAATCGTTAAAAGACCAATCTTCAAGTTAACTGCAATAAATAAGCTTTATAGGTTGATTTGAAAGCTTGAATTTACGTCACTACGTGAAAGATCTCTATAGGGAAATGTTGACTTTGACAACACTTATTTAAAACAAAAACTACTGATAAAATTATACTTAAAAATTTATAGAGAAGCAAATGCTAAAACTCTTTCACAAGCATGATAGTGAAACTGAATAATAAAAGACGTAGGGTAAATTCCGACTTCCGCTTGTTTTAAGTTGGAAAAACGAGATATACATGATTTCACTAGTATTTTAGGCAACGTAGATATTTATTTGTAGGATTAGAATTTGCGTTGGACTGCTCCTGCTATTATTTCCTGAGTGATACGACGTTTCGGTTTCAGTGCTAAGGTCTTCTTCCTGAATAGAACATTTTGGTTTTTATGCTGAGGAAGAAGCTCGTTTGTTTTAAATTGAAGGTTATCTGCTCCAGCTTTCCCTAATTTTGAACTGAGTGATTAGAAGGAAGGCAGCTAGTTAACACCACCGCTAACTCTTAGGCTTCTTTTTACCAACGAATAAGGGGATTGGCCGTCACGTTATAATGCTCCCACGGCTAAAATAGAACCCGCGGCCCTCAGATTGCCAGTCGAGTGCCCTAACCACCAGGCCATGCCATACCTGAGGAAGACCTTAAAATGTGGATCAAAACGTCGTCCATTCAGGAAGAAGGCCTCAGCATAGTGAACGAAACATCGTTCATTCAGGAAAAGCACCTCAGTTTAGAGAACGAAACGTCGTGCCATTCAAGAAACAAGACCAGTACTTTACAATTTTCAGTAGTAAGAAGCCTGTAGAAGAACTATAACCTTATAAAATACAATTATAACCACAGTAAATAAATCAGGAATGAGATTTGATTATAAAATATCTGAGAAAAGAAACAACTTATTCATTATGCGAGTTTAAAATGTGTAATACAAACTGGAGAGTTCTATTCATTGTTAAAAGGAGAAACAGAACACGGCCTATTACTCCAGAAAACCCAATTGGTTGTTATTTTAGCCAACGTTTCGCCATTACGGCTTCACTGGGACAGATAAAACACTTGCTATCTGACTTAGGCTTTTGTATAACCCTAAATCAGATAACAAGTGTCTTGTTTGCCCCGATGAAGCCGTAATGGCGAAACGTTCGTTGGCTAAAATAAAAACCAAATATGTTTTCTGGAGTAACAGGTGGTGTGTTTTCCCCCTTTGTACAAATAACTTATTTCTCTGGTAAATTTTTAATTTCTTAGTTCCGTTTTATTACAAATTGCTTCAAGATTTCCTATAAACTTCCAAGTTCATGATTTACTTGCTGTTAGGCAGCGTGCGATTTTCCAGTGGGGGTGGGGAACAAAATATGATAAACAACAAAATAACATGGCAAGCCTTGACACATCTCACGTAAACCCCCTTTATTATAGCAGAGCGAAAATTTCATGGTTTAATTTTTTTATTATTTAAAGACTTTTATTTCAGAATTTTCACCTACAACGATAACCTTGTTCAGGTTCAGTAGTTTTTGTTGGATAGTTAGTTTCGTACATACTTTAAAGTATAGAGATTTGAATCTACGGACGGTGTATAGTGTTTCCATATGACGTTTTTACCATGTTCTTTCTTGTTTGCTGCTACTGTAATCTCTCGCCCCCCCCCCTCTTTTTTTTTTAGCCATCTCAAAACAAATATAACGTTGAACGAGTGTTTGCCTACTCAGACAAGCAACGGGTACAAAATAAGATACCAGATTTAATATGGAATGGTTTATACCGCCGACGTGAACACAGTTAAAAATATTATTAAGTCTTCCTATTATAAGCGTTTTTTTTTCTGTTAATGCAATAATCGCTAAAATAAATGAAAAAACAAAAAAAAAAGAGTATAAGTATCAGCTGATAAACATTTTTAGAAAAATGGCATTGGAAATTCAAAATCTTTTATGGAAGGATGGGGGGGGGGATAAAAACGGGACATATTTTAAAACAATTTCTGTTTTTTCTGAAACAATGATGTCCCCATATAACGCTACACTATCAATCGAGTCTTGATGTCCCCATACAACGCTATACTATCAATCGAGTCTTGATGTCCCCATATAACGCTATACTGTCAATCGAGTCTTGATGTCCCCATATAACGCTATACTATCAATCGAGTATTGATGTCCCCATATAACGCTATATTATCAATCGAGTCTTGATGTCCCCATATAACGCTATACTATCAATCGAGTCTTGATGTCCCAATATAACGCTATACTATCAATCGAGTCTTGATGTCCCCATATAACGCCATACTGTCAATCGAGTTTTGATGTCCCCATATAACGCTATACTGTCAATCGAGTCTTGATGTCCCCATATAACGCTGTACTATCAATCGAGTCTTGATGTCCTCATACAACGCTATACTATCAATCGAGTCTTGATGTCCCCATACAACGTTATACTATCAATCGAGTATTGATGTCCCCATACAACGCTATACTATCAATCGAGTCTCTAGCTCTTTTTTATTTTTTCCTGTAACATATTTGAGACTTTGCAGCTGGCCTGAGATACAAAGAAAGCATTGCACGTACAAAATGGCCATCACGTAATAGTTAGGACGTAAATACTTAAAATTCAGTCTGTCGTTCACGTGACTTCTATAAATTAAGTTGTACTTTGGAGTAATTAGAGTGGTCACGCACGAGTTATTTCTTCGCGACACAGGATGACTCACTTGGAGACGTAAGGTGTATTGAGTTAATCTTATAATCCGTTTTATGAAATAGGAAGCCTTAGAATGAAAACTACATGAAAAAGCTGAGGAAAGTTGCAACGAAACACGGCTGGTTTATTTTGAAAGGGGTGAACAAGAGGTAAAAACTGATGGGAAAAAATACCATTGGATTCAAGGTTATGAACGATCAAGTTCAAGAAATGTACTTAAAACATCGTTGTCACGTAGAAACCCTATCATCATGGTTTTGGATACAGTATTAAATTCTGCAATTACCTAAGTGTTAAAAGTGTCTTCTAACTATATAGAACACTTCATTTATTTTATTCACAGCATTTTACACAAACATAAAAACTAATTTTACTGGAGGGTTATCTGCGCCAGCCGTTTCTAATTTTGAAGTGATAGATTAGAGGGAAGGGAGCTAACAAGCACCACTCATCGCCAACTCTTAGGCTGCTCTTTATCAACGAATAAGTGGATTGGCCGTCACATTACAATGCTCCCACGGCTGAAAGGACATTTACTTTACTCATAGCATTTTACACAAACATAAAAACAAACATTACATTTTATGGGCAACATTTGCGGCCAAAATGAAAGAGAGTGTGACTTAATTATTGTGGATGTTGTGTGTGTACTATATCCCATAGAAAAGTGTGGGTAACTGCCCTCCCTTGCTCCCTCCATCCCCCGTAATCCCGCCTATGCTTCTTTTACACAGAAATGTTTGTATAAGATATATAGTGTTGCGTCAACGAGGTCACGTGACTAGTGTCACGCCACTCCTTCTCTCGAACCTTCGTGAATTATCGGGAGACTACTGGATATGTGTTAGTCTTGTATATATAAGACGTTGACAGCGTGACGGGACAACAGTGTAATGAGTAATTGAATGTATGCGGACAAAATATTGTTGGCCACGTGAGATATAGCGTTTGTTATAGCGCGATTGTTGAAATTAAGTGTATCGTAAAGTTATATTCGGAAAGAATAAACCAGTTTTATTAAGAAAGGACTTGTGTCGCTAAAGTTTCGTCGGAACGAAGTTACGGAAAATCAACTAACGAACGGAGGCGTAACAATATTTAACATGATGTTAAAAATATAGTGTGGTTGATAGACTATTGTTATACATTTCTAATTTTTGAAAATCCGCAAAGGACTAGATTAGGATAGTAGTATTAAAATATATTAGGCTTAAGATAATCTATTATATCATGTTTGACAGTTTCACAAGCTTCTAAATCTGTAAATGGTGCTCACACATTTTTTTTTTGTTTTTGTTTTAAAGTTAAGCACAAAGCTACACAATGTGCTATCTGTGCTATGCCCACCACGGGTATCGAAATCCGGTTTATAGCGTTGCAAGTCCGTAGACATGCCGCTGTGCCACTGGGGGGCAGGTGGTGCTCACACAATAACAATTATTCAGCGGTATTTTTCGAGAATATAACTGGGCCTGTTACACTTTACAAATTACATTTACAGGGTAAAATTTTAAAGTGATAAATTAAATATAGGTATAATTTAATTTTAAGCGTTTGAGAATTATGACTAAAATTAAAAAGTAACATAGAATATAATATTATGTGGTATTGAAGTTTATCTTAACTCGTTTAATTGGTAATTTTATTTAATTAGCAATGTTAAAACCTGAAAATGTGACACTAAAGAAAAAAAAATATTATTCTAGGCTGTGTGTAGTGTTACAGTTAGTGTTAGACCCAGAAAAAATTTAAAGTACGCATTATTAATATGTTAAGGTGCGTACACCAGAGGTAATAGGCCTAATAGTAATACTAATGTCTCATGACGAATTT